AAACATCTTCCTTTTTATGGTGCAAGGTTGTTGGCCTTGCGACCAACCGCCAACCTGGAGGACCAGGGTACCTCTCCCCCTCGACCAATCTGGCTACGGAGGCCATACCGGTAGCTCTTGGGGTCACTGAGGTACTCAAGCCCCACCAAGTTTGATTATACACATAAGTAATTAAAAGTACTTGTTCAAATATTAATTATACTATGAAATTACTTTTTGCAAAATTGTAATACTTAAATTATTAGTAAATTTCAGACTTAAATAACAAATTTTCCATGGTTCATAAAAATTTAATATTCGAGAGAGAGACATACTTTTGATCATCCTGAATTTCCTTTCTCTACAACAGAAACCACTGCTGTTATTGCACCTGTAGTCTTTGACATTACAGGTTCTTATCTTGCACAGAAAATGATCCGTGAAACATTTACCTGCATGTTATATAACTATTTCAGCAAACACAGCATCTTCTTTATTTACTTTTGAAATTTGTAACAACTTTAACTAGTTCGATATTTGAAAACACAGTTCTTTGTATAAGGACTTATTTCTAATCACATTGTACCACCAAAGTACTTCAGTTGAGATTTTTGTTTCTTGTAGTAGCAAATATGAAGATTACAGTCTTCTGGGTGTTGTGTCATGTACAGGTTGGATGGGAAGTAAGTAGGCATTAAATAATCGCTATGCATTGGAAATATAGAGGTTATAACCATTTCTCAATGCCTACTTACTTCCCACCCACCCTGTAGTCTGGTATAAGTTTACCAGCATGGCCCTGATGATGGAGGCAGCAAGTACTTCTAAAACATCAGTAGATTTCTACCATACTACACGGTACAACACCCCAGAAGACAGCCATGTTCACCATAAAATTACCGAAGAACACAGATTTCAGAAATGTATTTATGTTAACAATTTGTATAGGTATTTCAAACAAATGAGTTACAAGCTGTGGGTAAGAAATAATAAATGTAACACTTGTCATCTCAGCAACTTTCTTAGCCAGAAAGTTATAATTTCCTGAATATATGCATGTTCTTTCCTGACTTCTTGAGTCTGAAAGGGATACGAAGTATGCGTTCTTCCGAACGTTTTGAATACCTTGTTTCTCATTTGTTCTACAGGAACAGTATGAGTGTGAGAGGAATATTGCAAAATGAGTGAGACCACAAAATCAACAGAGAGAAACCAAAGCAAATACATCATCATGAAGAATGACAGAAATAACCTAGTGTCACTAAAAGTCCTGCTGTTTTGTTTCTTTGGAGGTGAGTATACATTGCTTATACATGCACCACTGTTCTGATTGGCCTTTGGAAAAGGTACAGGTTCAAAGACATAACCGATGTATCTGTATCACATCAACAAAATGGTAGAAAAAGTACAGGTACAGTGAACATGCAAATAAGAAGAAACATTATTATTGAATTTCAGAGCTTCCTTCCTTCAAGTAGGTCTTATGATGAATTAACTCTATGACAGTCTTCTTCTTGAGCAAGTAGTAATTATTATCTGGTCAAGAAATTCACTATTTTCATGGAACATGAAAGTCATGTCTGTGTTCACAGATATCTGCCATTGGACAAGCTAAATCCATTCCATACCTTCATACCCTGTTTTTCTAAGGTCCATTTTAATATTATCTCAAGAATGTCTACTTTCTTGAGGTTTTCTAACCAAAACTTTATATGTATTTCTTATCTCTCCATACCCTAGCCTTCACATTCTCCTTGATTTATAACCTGAATATTAAGTGAGGAGAAACAATCGTGAAGTTCCTCATTCTGTAATTTTCTTCCATAGATTATTTTTTTTTATTTCTGTCTAACACACTCATAATCCCATTCCCTCAGACACAGATCAAAGTTCACACCAATAAAAAGTCAGCAGATGACGATGACAAAAGAATGGGTAAATTTTTAGTTTTAAATGCTCTAGTCTTAAGGTAACTGGACTGAAGATTTTGTCTTGTGTTTTGGTATCAAAACATGAATGTATAGTTTTTTCTGCATTTATTTCTATACCAATATCTTTACTAGATTCTAATAGGGTTTCTGTATTTTATCCTAGTTTCCTTGGTGAAAAAAGTGGGTTAATTTGTTACAAATAAGAGTTACTAATGTAATGTTAAACAGGTGAAACATATCAAATATAAATAGGTATTGGAATTGAGTAATAGATAAAATTACATTACATTGTGCTTAATGGTTAAAACTCTCATTATAGTATTCTCAGGGCAGATAAAACATGGCAGCAAAGACAGGCTAGCCATTTTGCTCAAATGTAGAAGCAACAGATTCATACAAAATATTAAAGACAAAATTAGACTGAGATGGAGATGTGAGACTAACACTGAAAAGTAGCATAGGAAATAAATATGTGGTAATGTCAACTGCATAAACCTGACTCAGAATGGGGTTCAAAGACGACTGTAGATGTATGGAAGAGCTAGTTTTATGTGACACATCTGTAGCACGTATTTAGAAAGTCAGTTTCTTCAATGATTATTATCATGCATCTATGTCAAATTCATAGTTTAGAGAAAAGAAGATAGTGCTGCATTGCTTATAGCCTGCATATGAAACTCTGCCATTGAAACAATGGTCCCCTTGAAGTAGCAATGCATTATCTACACTATGAAATATTAAAAGAACAGTCACTTTAAACTGCCGAAATTAATGTTGTTGTTATCCAAACTTACCTGATCTGCTTGTAGGGTTGTTTGGAAGTGTTATATCACAAATGAGCTCTTGTCAGTGTAAGAATACGTTCCAGTTCCTGGTAGGACGATTGGCTTCGAAACATTTAAACTGTGTTTGAAATAGAAAACCCGCCATTTGAAAAGACCTACGTGCACACACGAGATAAATTTCCCTGTGCAATCTATATTCATGTAGGAAGGTAAATTTTCATCCTGGCATGAGAGAACTAATAACATATATTTCCACTAGGTGGCGGAGCAATCAGGCTACGAGCATCGTACCACGGAGTCTTTCCGCGCATCATTAATCTGTGCGTTAAAAGAATGTTCTCGTTTCTATAAACTGTGCTATTTTGGATGGTGTATTGCTATTAAAACGTGTTAAGCTGTTTTAAAGTAAAATATGTCACTAAAGTATCGTTTGGTTTCTAAACGAAAGAAGGATTTTAACAGTAAATTAAGCGAGTTAAAATATGAAGCTGACAGTATTTTAAAATATGTGACAGATATAATTGATGAAGGAAATGCAATAACAACAGAGCTTGAAACAGTGACAGATGTAATTTTCCTTCAGAGATATCCTGTCGTCATTGGAAAATTAAACAGTCTCTTGAATAAATTAGTGCGCGTGAACTGTAACATAGAACTAAGTGCTAGTGAGGATGAAGTGGAAGAAAGCATACAGAATGATCGTTATGTTACAGGACAGCCGTCACTGCTTAGTGATTATGAACCAGTAATAACAGAAAATGAAATTGAGTCTAGTGCTGCGCGTAATAACCCTGACGTTTCTTCAGAATGTTCGCCTTCATCGTCTTCGAATATTGCATTCGTATGCCCCATACAAGAAGGTGATATTTTAGATATGTGTTACCTTGATGGAGACACTCCTTACAACTTCTGGTTGCATTACTATCAAACCAAATCACTTGATTATTTGAACAAAACTATGTTGACTCGCTACCATAATAAACAGTTGCATCCGTATGTTATGTCATTGCAGTACACTTGTAGATGTGTGTGCGCTTTTGATGGTGAAAAGTGTTTTCGTGGTGAAATTCTTAGTATTCATTTGGATCAACCTGTTCGATTCACAATACTTGATGTCGACAGTGGTAGGATGCAAATAATTGAACAAGTCAGAGTTTTCAGACTTGATGAAGATCTTTCAGAAATTCCTGTCCAAGCTTTAAATTGTCGCTTGCAGGGGGAATTAGGTGATCCTTTGTTGTGGAATGATAAGGTAATTCCTCTGTTCCATCAGGTCCTTGCAGAATCAGAATTAGTTGTGACTGTTTGTGGAAAGATTGAACAAGATGTACCCCTGTATTTGGTTGAGATTGACTGCCATAATGATGAACGAATAAATAATAAGATTGAACTGAACAAGTGGATTATACATTCTGTATTTCCCAGATTGGAAGAAATGAAGGAAAAATTCACAGGTGATGATATATTAAAATCCCTTTATGTATATTTAGACCCTGTCACAAGAGATAATGAAGAATCTACAGAGCAGGCCTTACACACAAGGAGTTCCTTTCTTACAGACATATCAAGGCCTTCAACTCAGTTACTAAACTTAACATCATTACACTGTCCTGCAATATTAATCATGGATCAAAATCAGCCTCACAATCTGGGTCAAGAAGAACCTTCATTACTAAATCAGACAAAGAAAGATACTCTGTTGAAGCATAACCTTAAAACTCCAACTGCTTCATCAACAGAAAACTTGAATATACCCATAAACACTAAGCATTCATTGCCAAAGATGAATCTTAAATCACCCTCACAAACAACACTTGATGAGAATGAAACAAGTAACATGAATTGCTTGACACACAGTTCCATCTCCTATATGCCAGCTTCATGTTCTATAAGTAGCGGCTTAACTTCAGAACTTGTGCCACTTACACCAGAAAAAGAAAGTATTTCCCTTCATCAATCAGTACTTATACCCTCAGTTGGGCACACTTACAAGGCAATGTTATCTCATATTGAGGACCCAGGTGAGTTTTATATCCACATATTGTGTGAAGACAACTTTAAAATTGACAAACTTCGAAATGAGATGAATCAGTATTACAGTAGAGTCAAAGTTAAGTTTAAATCAAAGAAAGTAGCAAAATATAGTGTTGGCTCATTCTGTGCTGCATTTTATGATGCTGACAAGCACTGGTATAGAGCACAAATTGTTGATTGGAATCAAGACAATGATGGTGATCCAGTGAGCATAAAATATGTTGATTATGGGAACCAGTCTTCAGTACACTTCTCTGTGTTACAACCACTGACAGCTGAGTTTACAGAGTTGCCAATTTGTGCTAGACAATGCCATTTGGCCAAGATCCATCCCTGCACTTCAACACAGGATAGAATATCAAAGTGTTGGTCACAAAGTGCAATAAATGAGTTCATGAATCTTGTGAATATACAGTCACTTTACTCTGTTGTTGTGTTGGAATGCAGTGGAGATAGTGTGTGCTCACTTCCAGTCCTTCTACAGGACTGCCAAAATGACGGCTGCATTAATAAATGTATGGTTGAACTTGGTTATGCTGTAAGTTTTTCTCCTGTTGACTTTTCATTATATGCTGCACAGAGGAAGGAACAAGAAGTATCATCTACATCAGAAGACCAAAATGCACAAAATCTAAACGCTGAGAATGACAGGCATAAGGATTTCTCAGAATCAGAAGAGGTTATGTATGACCAGGATCCAATGTCTGAAGATTACTTTTCAGAATCAAATACTCTGTATCATGATGATGAAGATGCATGCTATGCTGTAACAGGCTACAAGCCACAAGATGAGAAAAGGATCTGTAAATTCTATGCTCAGAAAGGCAGGTGTTTTAAAGGTGAAAATTGTCTGAAGGAGCATTCATATCCACACCCAGGTGGCTGGACAACTGATAAAGAACGTATGTTCAAAGAAGCATTTTGTGAGCTTGCACTGCCAGATTTACAAGACAAAATAATGTTGCAGGTAACATGCGTAACAAAAGTCAATACATTCTTTGCAGTAATTTGTGATGAGTGTCCAAGCAGCTCTGACAAAATGCATATCAGAAGACTAGATGTGGAAGATGAAGAAAAAGAAGAAACGTTGGTAACGTTAAATAATCATCTGAATGAGGAATATAATGTGAAGGCCTTGCAAAGATGTGTTGTTACACCAGGTGTTGGTCAGATAGTTGTTGCTCGTTTCAGTGAAGATGTGTTGTTACACCAGCTCATGGTCAGATAGTTGTTGCTCGTTTCAGTATTGATGGCCGCTTTTATAGGGCTAGAGTTTTGGATTATTCACGTCGAAAATTTTTTGTTTTTTATGTCGATCATGGAAATAGGGAATGGGTGAGTGAATCAAATGTTCGTGGTATAGAGAGAAAATACCTGCATTTACCATTCCAGGCAATTCATTGTGTACTAGCAAATGTGGATGATGTAAGTGAAAGTTTTGAAGCAAAAGAGTTCTTTGCAAGTTTGGTAAATAATAAGATATTTCATGCTCAAGTCATTGCAAGGCTATGTCATATGTCTACACTGGAGGTACTGCTCTGGGATGAAAATGGTGATGATGTGGGAGCTCATATTATCCAGAAGAACTATGGAAAGGAACGTATCTGAGGCTATGTCATATGTCTACACTGGAGGTACTGCTCTGGGATGAAAATGGTGATGATGTGGGAGCTCATATTATCCAGAAGAACTATGGAAAGGAACGTATCTGTAGTACTCACGGCACTGTGGCTCATGGGAATTGACCTTGCTGTGGCAGCTGTATTTTGTTTTTAACCAAAGAATTCCAGATATCAATCTTTATTTAACCACAGTCCTTGATACACAAATTTAAAGAAGGCTTTACTAAGAAAGTATGAGAACCAACTTTTATTTTAGTACAATTTTGGGGTATTGGTAACATATCAGTGCACACAAATTTAAAGAAGACTTTACTAAGAAAGTATGAGAATCAACTTTTATTTTAGTACCATTTTGGGGTATTGGTAACATATCAGTGAGACTTTTCAAATGAGTACATTTGAATAAAGCTTTTATGTTGTAGCTCTTCTATTAATAATGTAACATTTGGTGATAAAAATTAGAAATGTTATATTACATGTGAAATTTGACTTTTTCATTAGTAGATTATCTATTCAGCTCTTGACGATTTTACTTTGTTACATGTGTATGAATAAAATGCATATTTTGCTAACTTAATCTGAAAGGGGACAAATGTTATTTTGAGTTTTAGAAGACGCAAATTATTTTCCACTTTGTTAGGACAATAATAAAAAAAGGACAAAAAATAAATTAAGATCTCAGACTTCAGTTTATATTAAGTTGTTTGTGTGTGCATGTAGTTACATAATACCAGTGCTGAAAACAGTTTTGTTTCACTTTTTTTTTCAACCATAATAAAGTATCACAGTTCAAACAGAAGTTCCAAAGCAGAGCAATTCCTATGGCTTAGTAGTTATCTCAGCTGGGATAGTAGGAAGATATATTGCTCCTAATGATTAAGATATCTTGCCAATTTCCCCACTTCCATCATTGATTTAACTTGTAGTGCATTCAGAAGACAAGAGTTTATAATGATAAGCAACTAAACATCAACAATAATATATACAGTTTGCTCCAAAAAGATAAATACAGCAGCAACTTCAGTGGCCGCTTGTCAGCTGTGCCACAAAAGTAATGGTGGTCATTTCAAATCCCTACACTAAGTGCTAACACTGGCATATGTAATGGTTTAGTTTATTGAAATGTCCTTATTTCATTCATTGAATGTGTTTATATATTTTTGGGACATTCTGTATAAAGCACATTTGCTGCACAAAGTGAAATTTTGTATTCAACTTGCAGCTTTGCACTTTTCCACTTCAAAATACATCATCAAATTTCCTACCTTATGGTCTGAAGGGATAACTGGAGAAAATATGAAACAGATTAATTTATTATGAAGTGGTCTTTCTCAGGGTTGTGAGATGCCAAAAAAGGGTAAAGTGGAGGAAGCAAGGGGAGCATAACAGAAAATAGAAAGTGTAAACACTATAAGGTGTGACATACATTAGTTCTCAAAATCTGCTCTCTAAATTGGCAAATCTTTAAAAAAAAAAAAAAAAAAAAAAGATGTCTGAATCAGATGATACTTTTGCTTCATCTAAATACCATACAAAAATAACAAAACTTTGTGTGCCTTAAAATTCACACAAATTTGTTTTAATTCAGTGGCTTCCATACAATTGATTGTTTACAGTTATGTACATTTTATGAAGATGAAATACTTTTATAAAATAGGAGTATAAATTGTTTTATAAAAAGCATTTCATGAAATAATAGTTACTATTTTTAATGCCCATAATTTTTATCATTTCAGTGTTATCAATGCCATCTAAAGGGAACGTCCCCTATACTTCAAATAACCCGCCATTTGATGACTTATTCATATTAACTTTTATTGTTCTCCAGGTATTTCCTTGGTTCATAGAATTTTTACATACTGATAAATAAACATAATGACAGATATGCAATCATGCAATTTTATGTTGCTGCTGTTACATTTTGAACTGCTCTGAACAGTGTATTTAGTTTTATTTTGTTATATATACTTGATACATTGTATAAATCAATGGCAACATGATGTGGTGATTCAATTTTCATTATCAATTACGTGCATCTCATTATCCATTTCAGTTAAAAATAGTCAGGTTATTTATGACAGAATTTTAAAACCTTACTGTATAATTAAATTAATTATGTTAAATGATTTTTTGTACTCTTTGAATTATGCACTTAATTATCAGCTTTTTATAATCCTAGTTGTATTTATTGTTTGTTCTTAAAACAATAAATACAGAATAGTTTATTCAGTTGTGCTTTTTAATATTGCCCCACATGTTTTTGTTATATATCACAGTTCGAAATAAATGTGTTTTAGAAGTATAAAAAAATGTATATTTTTTTTCAATATCCCACTTTCTTTGATTCATATCACAGCCATTGTTTAATGTATAAATTTGGCTTTTGACAATACACAGCATAGAATGTTCAATGATTTCTTGAACATGTCACAAAAAGTTTTGTGTCACCAATTTTCCTAACCATGTAGTTGCTAGAAACTGCATCATACCCTTTCTCAGCTATACAGTTACTCCCAATTGGATACCATCAGCTTCTCTGTTTCCAATCATGTCAATACCCTCACATTTATCTCCCACTGCCAGATATATGCATATGAATGCTTCCTTAACTCTCAGAGAGATCCACCCTGAAGATGGCAACTTGCAGTGTTTTCCAAAAGCATTCTATGTGATTTATTCCTGAAAAGCTGAAGTTTCTTAGGGATGGTTTACAGTGTTTTATTATGTTGCTGATTCCTGTGCAGAACAAGTATGTCTTAACGTAATATCTGAATGATGAGAAGATGAAGTCAATCATAACTTGTCTGACACAAATACTATGAATGGCACAAAATTAACATTATAACATAATTAATGGGCATGGATTTATTTTTTTTCCTCTGGGCTTGACTGATATATATATATATGAAGAAATTAAAGAACAAAAGGATAAATATAAGTCTTAAAAAAGTTTCCTTCAAGGTACTGGGCAAAACAGAACTGGATAATTACAGGTCTAAACATATATAATAAAGACACCGCAGAAGCAATTAAGAGATAGAACAATCACATGAAAGGTGTCAGTAGTATAAAATAAAACATTTAGCAAAATGTTGGATACAAAAAGCGAATAGAGAATCATGAGGGACATTCATTATCAGAATAGACGATGATTCTATATGGAAATCAGAATATAGCAGTAAAGCTAACTAAATATTAAAAATGGAAGTGACAACATGAATTAAGGTAAGAAGTTAACTTTACACAAATTTTTGGCAGGGTTAAAAGTAAAACTGGAAAAGAAGCAACAAGAAATTGAAAGGCCACAGGAGCAGGTGGAATCAACACTGAACTGTACGTCAGTATCTACGCTTAATTGTTGGTGATCAAGTAGTACTAACAAAAGCGTGCTACTAAGTCCAGACAGATCCAATTTCCCTAAGACCTATTTAATATTTTCACATCAGTCTGGTCCATTTACATATTTAGGAATTATTAATAATATAGTCATTTATTAATTTTTAATAACTCATACATAGGACAGAAAAATAATATAATTGCAAAAAGGAATATATAACAATTTAGTTTTGTAGTTTAAATGCGTCATGTTTGTGCTTAATTCAGTAGTATATTTATTTATTTCCGTCAGTACACAAACTTAGTTGTTAAAATTGGTGTTATTAAAGCTAAGAAACAACCTACAAAAATGAAAACTACAAAACAAACAAATCAACGATATTTGCATTAATAAATATACATTAGTTTTAAAAGACGAAAATAGCCTGAAGATGATGCAGTTGCATTGAAACATGTTGTGAAATAAAATAATGTGCGCTAAAATTGTAACATCGTAATAGCGATGATAAGCGCCAAATTTTAAAGTTTTAGCTTTAATAACACCAATTTTAACAACTAAGTTTGTGTACTGACGGAAATAAATAAATATACTACTGAACAATTTAGTTATTGATGTAAATTTAAGCTCTGAAGTCCCTAAAATATATATTCACCATATATGTGTACTGTGAATAGAAAACTGGTATGAGAACACTGGTTTATGCTACTCTGAATTCAGTATGTGTCTTAACATCTTCAGAGTAATGATATCCTGTTTGAACCAGTTCTTCAGTATATATGAATTATGATCGGTGAAAAGAAATGTGATGGCATTCTGCCCCTTTCCAGGTCCAGTGAATATAAATTTTGGAATAAGATTCAGTAAATTTCATTACATTTTTCTTTTCAGTACCACATAATTAACAACTTTATTTATTTTATAGGTATTGGATGTATTTTTCCATTCTTACCTCTACATATGCGCAAAGTGGGCCTCACAGCAATTGAATCTCAAATTGTGTCTGCAGTCGCTCCCTTAGGTAAGACTGGAATAAGATATTTTATCTCATGTTAATATTTAACAAGATATACTCCAAAATGTGTTTAGGCTCATAATAATATAGGCCTTACAAGCTAGTGAGCTCAATATGATTTTAGTGGTTAACTCTTCTGCACTGTGTATCTTATGATTTGTGGTTTTCTATTCTTTATAGTGGCACTTCTTGGTCCATGGGTGGCATGCCCATTAGCAGATCGACTGAATGATCTTCGGGCAAACAATGGACGTGGGATGCGAGTGATGCTGGTGGTAATCATGCTGTTGGCAGCAGTTTTCTATGCTCTGCTCATGTGCATACCAACTGTTACTCGATTTGACTCTGATCACAAACCTGCCGTATCTTTCGTATGTGGCCCAGAGGGGGCAATGCTGCACCATGAGCGATGTAATGATCCTGCCTGTCATTCATGGGACAAGGATGAGGTTGGTTATCTCCTATATATCAGTATAAGAACATGATTCATTTGCCACCAGGTTCAGTAATTCAATCAGTGTAAGCTATGATATTGTTCACAAGTTTTTAACTATGAAGGACGATGGTAAATCTCTAAATTGACTAATGCTTATAAATGTTGAGGGATTAAAAGATACCACATTTTTAAATCCCTTTGTTTTTAGTGGGTCTATTTCTGCCTCTCTCTCTCTTGTAATATCTTCCCCAACAACCTGTAAAGTAAGTAAAGTAAAGTTTGTCCCACTACACGCCATGTAGGCGCTTGGGGTGAGAGGAGGTATAGCTCCTCTCTTCCTTGACCTCGGCACTAGATGGGAGTG